CTCTCCGTAAATTGAAATCCAGACCATTTCTGACTCAACATCAAACATCACCTAAATTTCATGAAGAGCTGAAGTCACACCAAAACATGATGAGATTTGCTTGTTGGTTTGGCTTTTTTACCAGAAAGAACCTGGGAGCAATGAAGCCTGGCAAGACAATGATGAACCGTCAGAATGTACTCTAGTTATTATGTAATATAATTGCAGCAATTATTAATTACCTGCCATTCTGCCGTGCCAGAGAATTTCCTTTTCCTGACAGTCTCTTCCCCTTGGAGCTTATTAATGACTTTTGACAACAAATCTCTCCTGTTTTATCCTTGCTATATGAGATTCCCTTCATATCAAAAAATTTTAATAAATCATATAATTGCTTTGGACAAAGGCTTCAGAATATATAAAACTTCCAAAAAACATGTTTCAATTTATAAATCCACAGAGACCAAAATTACACTTATAAAATCCCTGCTGATCCTAACCCACAGGCATCCTCTTTCTCTCCTCATCATAGTGGTGAAACCTCTGTCTTACTTTGTGTGTCTGCATCTCTGCATTCCATGGGTACCAAGTTCTGCACGCTGCAGGAGAGCAAGGCAAGCAGGGCAAGGGAGTCTCTCAGCCCCAGTGTTCTGCTCCCCACAGCACTCCTGCCCCTCGTGCAGGCAGGATCAGGGCCCCCACCACAATGGCAGACAGCTCTGTAGGATGCTCCCCCTCTGCACCTCCCACACCAGGTCCTCTATTCTCAGGAAGATAGATTTGGACAATTGGAAAAATGGAGAAATGTCTACAGACACTGGCAAAAGTGTCTTCACCCCAAGAAGCTGTATCTAGAGTACACACACGCGTTTTACTCACACTCATGGAATTGACTTCTGACGTGAAGGTAAAAACCCCAGCATTTTAAAATATACCAGTGTCGTCAACACAAGGTAACACAAAATTTCCAAGCATGACTTTAAAAAAAAATCTCTGTCATGTGATGAAGACATGCTAGAATGTGACTTTTTCATATTTTTACCCAATCATACTCAAAAGTTTTGGCTAACTAACAATAATAATAGCAGTAATGAGCATTACTTCCCTACCACCAAGTTTGCTATGCTTACCTAAACAAAAACAGACATGTTTTGATATAAAACTCGTTCTCTGTATTAAACAAATGAGTGCTTAAAATGAAATTTTTGGGAAGGTCCAGTGAGTTTTCCCATCCTGATGGTATTGTATTTGCAGGGTGCCTTAACATTGGAAGGAATGATGAATCTGACTCCATGTTCTCAGAAAGTTAATTTATTATTTTATGATACTATATTATATTAAAGAATACTATACTATACTAAACTATACTAAAGAATATAGAAAGGACACTTACAGAAGGCTAAAAAAAATAATAATAAAAACTCGTGACTCTCTCTAGAGCCCCAACACAGCTTGGCACTGGTTGCCCAATGAGTCAAAATAATTCACAGCAGAAACCAGTGAAACAATCACGTGTCGGTAAACAATCTCCAAACACATTCCAAAGGAACAAAACACAGGAGAAGCAAATGAGATAATATTGTTTTCCTTTTTCTCTGAGGCTTCTCATCTTCCCAGGAGAAAAATCCTGGGTGAAGGGATTTTTCAGATAATGTGAATGTGACATGGTGGATGTATCACCCTCCAACAGAAAAACTGAGCACTTTCTTGAAAACATCCTGAAAGCAAACAAACAAGCAAGTAAACAAAAAGAAATCCAACCAACCAGAAAAAAAAAAACAAGATATGTACATAGAAATTGAGTTATTCAAGAAGAACATATATATTTTGTAGCCCATTAACAGTTCTATTCAGCATATTGTCTGACATAAATTCAAAGGGCAACTTTAATGCCAGTAGCTGTTTCAGGAGGAAGCATTCTCTATCCAGTCACTGCTTCAGTCAAGCCTCACTGTCTGTCACGGACATATTTTGAACATCTCTGAACTACCTGACACACTACTGATAGGAAAAAGTTATGTACTCAGCTCTTTCTACACACAACTTCTCATGTATTAATTGAAGTGCTTATTTTAGAAAAAGTGGGCTTTTAATTTTGGTATTTTGATGGAAGAGAGCATTCATAAGATTTGTTACATAGCCATGTGATGGGCCTTCCCATGCCTCAAGCTGGGCCCCCTTCCCAGGGTCAGGCCCTGGACCACACAGACTCACTTCAATGTCTGAATTCCAGACATGAAAATATTTCTTCTGTTGTTAAAATACACTGAAGTGGACAGATACCACCTTATATCGCCATAGCAATCACCACTTTAAAAAACCAAGACACTTTACACAATGCAGTTTGGGGTTTTTTTCCATGGCACCTTTTTACTGATTTTTAAGATTTGATTGGCACTATACTCTCCAAAACTTGCCAACTTAGAGTCAGGTATTCTTTATGCAAGTTGTTTTTTCCTACTGTAGTGTAAGCAAGAGCTGCATTTGTCACTGTGGGCATATTTACAGCCTCCCTGAAGTAAGGAAGGGCTCTTCAGTGCTGCCCAGTCATGGCAGATAAATTAGTGCCTGCCAGGTCAGGCTCAAGGAGTCCAGAGGCAGCACATTATCCCCAGCCACGTGGCCGAGAGAAGCTTTTATCTAGTTTTTGTTTAAAGTGTAAGAGACTGCTTGGCTTTAATCAGCCTACTTAGTTGAGCTGTGTAGTTTCTTTATATAAAGTCAAAAGGCTTTGAATGGTATTAGACACTTTGGCAGACACTTCAGCTCCTTTGCTCCATAACAACCGTCTTTTCTTCCATACACAATAGTAGATCTCCTTCAAACTTGATTTAACAGATACATAAAGGACACCTCTCTCCCTTCAATCACCCTCTTTCTTTAGGTTCATGAAACCTTGAAACAGTGCCACTACTTGTCACGAGCAACCAGCCCTGGCTGAAGTTTTATTTGCATCGCAGGGACAGACTGTTCCCATGGCTTCCATGGGGACCAACCCCACTGCAGCACAGCAGAGCTGCTGCTGGTGAGCCCATGCAGGGACTACCATACCTCCAGTCCCTCCGTCTGAATCCTGCAGGAACCTTAATGCACGTTCCCATGGCCTTCCTAGGTTCTCATATCAGTACTGTGTTTGCAGAAAAAGTCCAAGTAAGTAAAGGGCAAACTCACCTAATGAATGCATTTATCTGGTTTCCAACTCCCTTTTTAATTCCTGTGATGAAGCAGCAGCCAACTCTGCTGTGGGTGGAAGCAGGGAATTTGGGCATCTTTTTCCCAGCTGCACAGCAAAGTGGTCTGCAGCACTAAGAAAAAGCAGTACAGCAGAAAAAACATTAACTAATTCCTTCTCTGGTGACAATGCTCCTACCTGCCCAACCCTATTGCTGGCTGATGGAGGTAGACTGCAGCCACCTCCATCCAGGGAGTTCACTCCCTGGCTTTACCAGGCTATGCCTCATATTTGAGGTAAAGACCATCCTCTGTAACCTACTAAGGAAAAGCATAATAAGGAAAACTGAAAGGTGAATATTATCTTGGTAAAATGGCACCACATGCTACCACTCTGACATTGCCCCCAGATGGGCCTGGGAAGGCTGGTCCCAGAGCCAAGCGGGTAAGCGCTGCGCTGGCACCACATCCCACCTCGGCACAGCCCCATCAGCAGCATGGCTAGGTGTGACCAGTCACAGATAATTCACATGTGAATGAGAAATGGGGGAGATCCAAGTACTGTCAACCCCTTTTTCAGTGCTAGCTACGGCCAGGATGATCCTTTTTAAGAGTAAGTGACTTGCAAGGTGGAGTCCGCACATGTCTCCGGGCAGCAGCTACAGGAAAACCCACATGGGGCTGAGCACTGTCTCAGGGGGCTCCACCACACAATAGGGTGTTCAGCCCCACCAGAGAGGTGCCCCATGGATGCAGCACAGGCATTCAGGGTACAGGAGGTACAGAGCCCAAAGGCTGCCCTAGGGGATATGTCTAAACCTGAAGCCTTTTTTAAAAGCCTATGCTTATTGCAAGGCAACATTTTTGTGAAACCTCTCCTGCAGCCAAAACTTTCTTCCTCAAAAGAGAGCTAATCAGGCCCCCATGCCTATCAGTCCTTGGCAGATTAAAATATTCAGTTGGTACTGGGCAGATCACTTCTTCTGCTGCAGTGGAGGCAGAGCAGTGCTTCAGCCCCTGTGGCAGTCCCCAAGCTTGCAGTGCCAAAAGGCCTTAGGCCCTGCAGATGCTGCCAGTGCTTCTGGGGACATGTTCAGCTGCCCATCACGAGCTGCCAGTCAAGGCACTGCCTCGATGGCCAGGGCATGTGCCAACCACTCCTGCGTCTGCATCCAAAATTCAGTTTTGTATATTCATCCCTGCCTGTCCCAGCTCTCAGAGGTTCAGCTGTGCTATGCTGTGCTCACCACAGATGTTCTCTTCCAGGTGCCTCTCCTGGCACATGAAAGAACCACAAAGCCTGGGTTTCACTCAGCTACTCAGGCACTTGTCTCTTAATTAAAACACAGGAGCAGAACAGAGGAAAATAGCCCAGTACAGCACTGCTCTCCTCAAATGGTGGGAAACTTCTGCCTGCTGCCACGTCTTTCAGCTATAAGCTTTTTTTTTCTTTGTTGAGAGATATGCACTGGCAGAGGAGAAGCACACCATTCCTCTCATTGTTGCTCTTCAGTTTTGCCCAAGTTTTGTAAAGGCAGTGGCCTTCTCATCCACCAAGGTTTTTGGGCACAGGGAAGGATGATGTTTCTCCCCCTCAAACCTACCCTCACAGTATGGTTTATAGCTTAGTGATTTGGGACTAGCAGAAAGGAGTGGGCTTGAGAATCCTCTCAGACAGAGAAGAGATCTAAATCCCTGCCTTATACCCCACAGGAAGATGTCTAGGCATGGAGCTACTGTATACCTATGGCAATCAGCCATTTTATTATAAGACAAACCTCTTTCCACAAACACTCAATTCTCTTCAGGGAATAGGAAGTTAGCCCAGGATGACTAGACAGCATGTCGGCCCCACAACTGCAAAGTCTCCAGATTTGATGCTGAGCCATGTGTACAAGGTCTTGGCTGGGAGAAGCACCTTGCAGCCTATCATTTAGCCAGCATGGCATTGATGGCCTGTGCTGTGCTGCCACCAAACTGAGAGCACCTCTAGGAAATTGCTAGTAAAAACTAAAGCACCTCTAGGGCCAATGAATATTGTGGCAGTTTTCAATTAAATGTGCCTGCAGGTAGGATTTAGTTGTCTTTGTGGCAGTAGTCATTGTCTAGGATTATTGTAATTGTCTAGACTCTAAGAGCAGAAAGGTGAGAGCTGCATTATCATGATGCTCTGTGTGGGCTTATGAGTTTTCCATGCAATAGAATGCACCTGCCCCAGCACAGTACCACCTAAAGCAGCCCCAACATGAAGCTGGCTCACAGCCAGCCATCCCTGGGAGCAGCACCTGTCTCAGATCCCCGGCTGCTTGCCCCTGCACTGGTGGCCCAGAAGCTACCTAATACATTCTCTCCTGTCACTCAGCAGCTCTATGCAGTGCTCCGGAGTTTTACCAGTCTCCAATAATTTTCACACCCGACAGAAATACAATTCTGGCAGGGGAACAGACCAGAGCACATGGGCAGGCACAGTAATTGATGCTTTCTCCTCTTTGTTTCAGATAATTCCCAAAGATGTGTCTAAGCCCAGTGTTTGTGAAATGGTTATGCCATGAACAACACTGACTGGGCACACATGACATGAAACACTGCTTTAATCTAGGGAGGCTGAGCCTCACTGCAACCCCAGCTACTCCAAGCAGCCACCGGCTCACAGCGGTTCCTCCCTTCCCTGCCCAAGCATAGGCCGTTTCATTGCATGACAGCACAAGCTCCAAACACAAAACTGTCACTGTAATTGGTCATTCTTTCTCCCATAACTGTGTCAGCATGGCTCTGTCTATTCTGCCATTGACAGAGGCAACCAGACTAGTACAGAAGGATCTACAGCAGTGAAAACAAGACAAAACTTCAAGGAGCAGATGAATGGCTACCACCTATCTCTGGTCATGTTCCCATTTTCACTGGCTTACCATACTCTTTAATGCCATGTAAAGCTGTGTTAACTGAGGAATGAGGCTGCCTATATTACTCTGGCTGCTGTTGAAAGGGTACAAGCCAAGGGAGCAACCTTCCTGGAGAAGAGCAGCAGGGTTGTCATGTTAGGAAACAATATTACGCTTCTGAACCGCAAAACTGCTGAAGTGCTGAAAAGAGTGTGATCCACCCACTGGGCAGCAGCAGCACTTGAGCCTGCTGTATTGGACTAGCTAGGTACCTGTGGTCTGTAAGCATCAAGGCTTTTTGCTTTAGTCAGGAATGTTTGCTGAGTGGCACACCCAGCAGTTCCATCCCTCCACTGCCAGTTCAAATGCAGGTCTCACCCTCAGCCTCAGTCCCTCAGCAGCACTCACGCTCACCGCCCTGATGCTGATAGACCCAAACAGCCAACACGTGCTCCCAGACTGCAGAGCCGAGGGTGAAGGCAGCAAAGCTTTGCCAGGTAGCTCTGTAAAAAAAGGATACATGTGCCTGTGTAAATTCTCCATCGTAAACAGAGCTGTAGATACGAGCAAGCCAGACCAGCTGCTGCAGCAGCCAAGTACACTGCTCTCATTATGCTGACACTGCCAGAGCAACAAACCCCTCCGTGAATCAAGGGCTTATCTAGAAAAGGTGCTTACGGGGATTAGGACTTCATTCCTGTTTCACAGTCAGACAAGCTCTGCCCTTGACTTCAGAGGATTGGGAGGTTGTGCTGGGCCAAGGACAGGTTGGGAGGGTTTGGACTGTGACCCTCATGACAAAATCAATAGTGCTCACGTGGCTAGTGCCACTGTGTAAATCAGTCATGGGGACTGGCTTGTCAGTCATGGGGACTGGTCTTCTAAAAAAAAAAAAAAATCACAACAAGAGATATAAATGACTTCCTCCAGCATGCCTTAAATCATTCTGAAAAGTTAATGTATCTTAAAAGAGATAAAGAATTTGCAGATTTGTAAGTACCTGTTAAAATAGTACTAATAATCATATATAAATACATTAAATACATTAGAGAAATGTATTAGATTGAGTCGAATGTATCAAGGGGAGGCAAAGATTTTTAACTCCTTCTCCTGCTGCTAAATTTGTAGTTTGAGACTTTCTTGGTTTTAAAAGCAGATAACCTTACAGAGAAACTATTTCAAGAAGGCAGCTTCACTAAGCACTTTTTGGGGAGAATTCATGGAAAGAGCTGACTAAATGTGCAACCAGACAATATATAGTCAGTGACAGGCACAGGTGAATTACCTGGCAGTCTTTTTCACTCTGACATGTGGAAATCAGATCTGTCAGCAGTTATTTTTAGTAGACATGGGGTCATGAAGGACTCATCACAAAGTTTTTGTATGATTTCACTTACCATACTTAATAATATCTGTATTAAACTTTGAGGCAATGCAACTTCTGCAATGTGTGCAAATGAGGATCATGAGTATACAATTCCTGCAAGTAGGAGTTGGTTGTTACAGCAAAGCTAGAGGTCCCAATTAATGTGTTTTGTGTAAAACTAGGAAGCAGCTGGCTTGGCTTTCATAACAGTTACCACAACAAAGTTGCAATGGAAGGGGCAAGCAGAGACGCACATCCAGACTGAGCACCCTTTATCCAAATCACAGCACACACTGTTCCCAAGACAGGCCTGTCCAGAAACCAACTTTGGCAGCTGCTGTGTCAAGTGTCAAGAAAGGGATTGGGCACACAGCATAACCTAGTCAAAGGCTGAAATTAGATACATAAAATACAAGAACTCTTATCTGTTGCTGTTGATCTACCTGAAGTACAAAATGCAACTTGCAAAATTGCTGGTTAGACCTATATTAGACTTTCCTGACCCTCTTGTTTAATAAGGGTTCACATTCCCTAGGAGTCATGCAGGTTTGACTGCAGTGAGGAGATGGCCCTCAATGGGTGGATGTTCATCCGCCTTCGTGAGTCTTCTTCATTGTGATTGCAGAGAAATTGTGCAGAACTGAGATTCCTGGACCAAATACTGCCTTTTTCCCTTTTCACCTAGTCAGCAGTGCCACTGGAGTGGAGTTCCCTTTCCAGACCAACTGGGGAAATTCATTGTTACTCAATAATGCAGGTGACCAGTCTGCAGAGATGTGCATTAGTGCCTTTTGTGCCACCTTCCACTTCAAGCTTTGGGCACTAGGAGCTGGACAGAAGACAAAAGCATGGATGAAGATGTGGTCCTTCATCACAGCAGGTTTTAATTGGTGTTCCCAATGTCCAAATACTGCAAGTAGGGGCAGTACACAGAATATTGTGTTATACTGAGTTATAACCAGCTCTCCAAACATCTGTCACCCAACAGACCTTGTTTACAGAAAAGAATTTGACCCAGTAGAATGTGCATGGACTTGCAGAAGATGAGATTAGATTACAACTTTAACTAATATAAATATTAGTCAAGAGTCCTTAAGAGATAAAAAAAAAAAAATAGCCCAAGAGATAGCTACATCTAACTATGCTTATTGTCAGAAATGGGGTACATCCAGAACAGACTTGGGTGCAAGGGCCAGTAAAGAACCAGTGATACAAGCACTACTGCTTTCTCATCTCTGCAACTTGAGTAATTGTTCTTTTTTCCCACTTAACTTTAAAAAGTCTTGCTCTTATTGCCTAGTATTTCAAGTGGTTTTCTGGGAATACAGATAGAGGAATTGTCCTCATGGTATCAGCTCATAGGCAAACTTTTTGTCTAGAAAACTCATCAGAAGGGATAATTTACACTAATCCTACAGTGGAACCTATGAATTGCTCAATGTGGAGTAGGAAATGTGTATCTGTACTCTGTGAAGTAGACAATAGACTTTGAAAAGCAGAAGTCTTGATACCTTAGCAAATTATGAGGTAAGATTTGATCCCCGTTTATCTGTAGAGATGTCTATGTCCCCAGTTTGTTTAAGAGGAGAGCCAAGGAGAGCCATTGGCTCTCCTGTCCACTCAGCTTACAATAGATAAAAAAGTATTTCACTGGGCTGGAGCACAGCTCTCTGGTCCCTGGAAGTCATTCCCAGCCATTCACAGAGACATAGCTATGGAAGGCCCTTCCTGGAAGAGCACAGCTGAGGTTCAAATTTGGTGTCACGCAAAAAAATCCTGAATGCACTGACTGTTAGCAGTGAGGACCTGATTCAAATCAACACATTAAAAAAAATTTAAAATAAAAATTAAAAAAAAGAAATATTCAGTTCTATCTAAACAGAGAGGCAGTGTCTGAGGAGCTCACCAGGCAGATGTCTGCAGCCAAAGAGACAGCAGGAAATGGTGCCTTAGAGGACTGTGAGCAAGATCCAGAGGTCCTTGAGCCTGTGCTTCCCTGGGCTCTCTCCCTGGGGTGGCAGTGGGAGGATACAGAGAGCTCATACTGCTTCATACTGGAGTATTAGTTTGGCAAAGGCTTTTGAAACCATCGATTTGGTAGAATGATGGTGTTTTATTTCCGTTTTCACAGAAACCAGGATACTGGTCTTTCAGCTTTCATGGTTGTTTTGGGGTTTTTTTCCTTCAGCAACAGCTTGTCCTTCAAAAAATCAAAGAAAAGAAAACATTCCATAGTTTTGACCACAAAAGAAATTTTCTAGTTGATAGAAAAAAGACATACATTTCCAAGTTTTCTTTAACACAACCTTCCTCCCCCTCTTTCACATCACCTCTCCCACCGACAATGGACACTGTGATTTGAACAGCTTGTGAAAATCACACAGGCTGTGACAACAAACACATCCTGAGGTTTGCAACACTGCCTGCATGAGGCAGTAACTGAATCAAGTTTTCAGGAGACAGGGTCACTGCCAGTCTTGCAACATTGGAGGAAGCATAGCCCCAAGACTGCTCTTGCCACTTCCCCAGGCAGGTTTGGTGGCAGTCTTCATGATGTCTCCCAGCTTCCTCCAGGGCATACAAAAGCCCCTGGAAGATTCCTTTCAAGCACAGGAGACAGAGCATGACTTAATTCTTATATGTTGGGTGAATTAATTCCAGACCTGTTCCCTGCACTGCAGTGATGCTACAGGTGCTTTTTTTTCTGGCGAAGGGGCAGATTCTTCATGCAGGCAGATCTACCTTGTTCACTTACAGAGTAAGAAGAAAACAGAAGTTTTTCAGAGCAGAGGAATGGCCAAAAAGGAAGAAAATTAAGGCTTATCAAACTCCAGAGTGAAATAACATTAATTATTTGCTTAAGTATTTTTATATCATTAAGGTTTTTTTTTCCCTAACATAGAGTTAGCAAAATGAGACAGCTCATGATTAGTATAAGGCTTTGGCTTGCAAATCTGTCTTTTACCCGTGTGATGGTTTTCTCCAGATTTTGGAGCATAGGACTTTTAAATAAATATTGCTATTACATGGCAATGACACACATTAAGATGCCTTCCCCTCACTCAACACAAATCAGTCACTGAAATAATATCTGATACACTGATTCTATGTGAAAACAGTAATCATGTACCTCTACATTTATCCTTGTGTGTGGGCATACCTGTGCCAGCAGCTCCTCTCTGGGAAGCCCCTGGGACCACTCCACCTGCACTAGTTATTATCTGGCATCTCCAAGGATTCCTCAAAATGTACATGGCTGGCAGAGCATCCAAGTGTTGGCAGTACTGAGGAAGAGAAAAGGACAAGGTGAAAGGGCAGAACAGGTATTACTCCTTTCTGCTGAAGTGGGTCTTTTTCCATGGCCACTTCACAGCTGAATTGTCTAATCTGTGGTTTCAACAAATGGAGATTGAGCAAATTATCTTTTGCTCTAAAAGCAAGGCACTAAGATTCAAATCAGTTCTTAAGGGAACTTAGACCAGGAAGACCCAGCCTTGTGCAAGCTGGTGAAGAGGGAGGATTGTGAAGGACTGAAACCACATCACCTGCCACAACAGGATATATTGCACCAGTCAGACCTAGAGGGAGAGCAAATTCCCCACTGGATTTGCACCTGTTCATAATATCCTTCCACAAAGGCCCCATCATAGCAGGATCCCCAGCCTCCAAAAGCCCTTGCCCCAGGCTGGAACACAACCTGAGTGGCAAGAGCCAGCACAGCTCTTGATTTCTCACAGACACCCTCTGCAAAGCACTTTCTTGGGTGTCCCATTACAAAGCAAGTTGGTGGTAACCGTGTCTGACTCCCCTGAATCTGCAGAGTCAGCCGGCCCTGCTCCTCCTTGCACCACACACTGGATGTCAGAGGCAGCCGTGCCCACACCCTGCTTGGGACTGTGAATGATTTTTGCAGGACAGTGGCAAAAGGGGAGTTTGGTATAATTATAAACACGCTGCTAAGACAAATATCTCCCCCGTGTCATAGGTACACACTGCAATGGTTTGGGACATGTAGTTTCTTTGCAACATAATATTTAATTGTATCACATCAACATTCCTGTGCTGTAGTAAAGAGTGCTGGTGTAGCAAGTTTTGAGTTGAGCTCTAGGTTTTGGCTGAGAACCGCTCTACACTGCTAGTGCCATGGTGTGGCTGCTTGCAGGAACTACATTTCCTATATACCTTGCACTGAAAAAGGAATTCAAACCTTTTTGTTTCAGAACAAAAATTTCTGAAATGCAGGCTGCAGCTTGGGAGCCGGGAAATTCATGTTCCTGGTGGTACAAGGGAGCTCAATTTTTCCCTGCCTACGCTTACTCTGCATGAAGTTGAAGTGTTAACACGAACAGAAAAGATGGCAATGGCAGAAGAAAGGAGGGGGCACAAGGAGGTGCTGGACCTGGGAAATCTCCCTGATGAACTACACAGCGGTTGTGTTGATGCTGAGTTTTATTTTATTGTTTTTCCTCCTAGGTAAACATTTCTTAAGAAAATAATTTGTATGAAAAACAAGAGTGCTAACTGAAATCACAAAGGCAGTGTTGCAGATGACTCTTCCTGCTCCACAGGGCAGATCTGAAGTTCTTGGGGAATTCTGGTTGCTCTTGAAGAGGAGTATCAGCATCAGTAAGAGTAACTCATCTCTTCAGTACATGATAGAAGAGGGATCCACTGGTGCAGAGAATACAAACCTATCCTTTCCTTTTTTCTCCTTGGCTTTAGGGACATCTCACTGTTCCTTTTTGGTGATTGCTATACCCTCATTTCTCTAGCTCAAACTGTGCAATGCAGCAAGCTGCCAGCCCTAGCCTGGCTAATCATTCTAGAAAAGGCCACATCTGGAAGTGCTTTCCTTCAGCTTTTCAAGACATTGCTCTCCTTCAGGTATTCCTTACAAGGCATCACTCCGAAAAATACAGTAGGAAGGGTGAAACCACGACCAGCCTCTGCTCTGCCAGCACTGCAGCAGCAGTTTCTGCTGCACTCCCACTTGCACCTAGTCCCTAAAGCCTGGCAAACCCTGGGGAGCTCAGCCCACAGCAGCAGATGGAGGAAGGAAGCCTTGGCCCACCACAATGAAGCAGGGGTCTAGAGACAAGAGTGAGCTCCCCTCTGCCCACCCGTGCCTCATCCATGGTGAGATGTTTGCTGGCACGCCTTTCACCAGAACGTGGGTGGACGCAGAAGAGCTCCCTCCCAAAATCTGGGTAGCATCCAATCTGACGTTTGCTGGCATGCCTTTCACCAGAATGTGGGTGACGCAGAAGAGCTCCCTCCCAAAATCTGGGTAGCATCCAATCTGAGGCAAAGACAAATGTCACTGACCTTTACAGAATTCCAATAACTAAAGTCCCTTAACTCCCTTGCACTCACTGGAGAAATTGTTCAAAACCTGTTCTCTTTCCAGTCTCTCCCAAGGGGGGAAAAAATTAGTCTCTGTGCAAGTGTATTTGTTCTGTGTGTTTCTTATTTTATATTTCACAAATCAATGCCAACTTTCAGTCATTGAATCCAGACACTCGTGTTAACAATGGATGATTATATTTTCCATCTGAATGTTTTCCCACAAGCACAAGAATTAATTCAAAGTATTCTTTTTGCAAGTAGTAGTGTTGCAATGTATACTAAGATGAAATATTTAACTTGTGTAGATGAAACTGTTTTGCTGGAACCAGCAGAGTCACACCAGCTTATACCACCAGAGACCTTGGTGCACAGCTGTGTCCCTACCCCTGGGCAGCCAGGATGCTGTGTTTGAGCCAATAGGATTTATGACCATTTTAAATAGAAGCGACTTTCTCATGCGCATCGGTAAACTGCTGTGCTATTGGACTGCAAGGAGCTGAGTACTTTTCCACTCTTTTTAGCTATTGCTATCAGAAATCATGGGTTAGTCGATAACCACATTCCTCTGAGATGAGTTTGCCAGTGCACTGAAGGAGATCTGTTCACACTGGGAGGCATTGTTTCCCAGGCTATTCCAAACAATACAGAAAACACTGTGTTCTCATTTGAGTACTATGAAGAAAAGAGCTCAGTGGAAGGACTTTTAAAGCACTAGCATATGCAACTCTATAAACTATATTCTTTAAATAAAGAAAAACCCTCTATGTTATGCAGAACTGAATCATGATTTGCTCGTGGACTGCATCCAGCATCAGAAATATGGATGAGCTTTGGCTGGGCTTTCTAAGCAACAGAAATAAATACTTCACTCCCAGCAGAAGAGGGAAAAAGAAGAATAATTTTAAAAATCAAACAGAGATTATGCAAACACTTGAGTCCCCTTCATTTTCTATAGTAAAACATAATGACAAATTCATTTAAATTGAGTAGGATCAAAATATTTTGGATAAAACCTTGCCCTGACTTAACTCCTGCCTCAGAGACCTTAATACTAAGTCAGTGCAGAGCAAGGAGATATTAATCTGTCTATACTGAACTGAATCAGTTTTGCCAACCAGGTCAGAGGTAGTATTTCAGGCACTAACTTGGTATTGATGCTTTAAATAGCAGCAGAGTGTATATGCCCTTACATAGCACTTGCTGTGAGGAGCTACTCAAATACACATTGGTTTTCAGGTGGCCCTGCAAACCAGCAATGTCCTGGTGCAAAATGAAGCAGGGCAGGCTCACCTGCCAGACAGTAAGATGTGGGTAGACTCTTTGTTGTCCAAATTAGAAATGAATGGGTTACATCTACATGCTCAGTTATACCATTGCTCCAACAAGGGATCTCAGCCTTCAGATCACTTTCCTATCATTCAGCATCACTCAGAACATGTACTCGGTTTTGGATTGCTTGTTCTAACCTCACAACTTACCTTCTAAATCTAGCAAATCTCTTTTAGCTTAGAAGTCAGCTGGATCAGGCCAGAAAAAGAAGAGCAGGAATTTTTCCAGTAAGAGTTCAACACAGTCCAACAATGAAACAAGTTTTTAGTGAAGCACAGCGTAAAGAACATGTGAAAGATAATAATTTTCCATAATGGAAGCTTGAACAGTTTCACATCCATTACTTGAATCCTTCAGAAACAGAACAATTTAAAACCCCAACTACATTTCTGTCCTCTAGTCCCTTTCCCTTCCCCGCCCCCTTACACGCAGACAGCCCCGGAAAAGTCCATAAGAGGTGAATGGACAGACTGTCTTCACTGGACTGCAGTGGGCTTTGCTGCCTAGCATGACTTGGCCTGTCTTGTTCCTGCTATTCTTGCGGGAATCTGTGTCCGAAAGAGCAATTCCAAACTGAGATGTGTGCATCACAGTCTCTGCCAGGGAAAGTCTCCAGGGTGGATCATGGCCAAACTTAATGCGGCAGTTTTAAAGAAGCAATTTCAGTTCAGGGAGTTTTTCTCTGTTTTGCTTTAAATCCAGTATATTTTGCAATGAACTACTATATGCACCCACAAATATGCTACATTAGGAGGATGAAGGAGAGGGAAACCAGTAGAGAAGAAAAAGAAATGTAGCAGTAAAACAGCAGGTCTATTTTAACAGAGTTAAATGTTCCTTGCATATTTCTCCTTGTATGTGTTTTGCAACAGAACCAGGCCTGAAAACAGACTGGAGCATTAATAACAACAAGCATGATGGCTGCTGGAGTCCAAATTACAAGTGGACAGAGGCAGTAGCAGATACTGACCAGCAGTCACAACAACATCAATTTTCTTTCCAGACTCATAGTGCTGCTCTAGGAGCTCAGGTAGGCAAAATAGTCTCACAGTTGTGGTCATCTACAAGTGACAAGAGAAGCACTGAGGGAGAGTGTATTAGCAGTTATCCAGAGTAAGGAGCATTATAAGTTTTCAAACAGAGATTGTTGCTCTAAACCCAGCAGAAACTGCAGTGGGGATTTGGTTGTATCCCGTGCCAGAAATAAAATGTCAGTCTAGTTTTTATGTAAAATGGTGTAAGTATTTTTAAAAGGAAAAAAAAAGTAAAGAAGGAAAAGAAAACCACAGAAGAGCTGAAGAACAAGAAATAATCTGCTGAAAGCAAAAAATGGTTTACATTTTTCTGTGAGGCTCATTCAAGGTGGAAAGACTAGAAACATGTTGGAAAATGTTTAGAGAGATAACAAATTGATCAAAGCATTTGGCTAGGATAAGGAACTAAAGGATCTGAGTTATTACTTCTTGGAAAAGTGGCTGCTGAGGAGGAGATAGGAAGATAGAAGAGATAACCAAAGAAAAAAGACTACTCTTGAACTCTAATCCTGAAAGGGACCCAGTGCACTTATCCATTCACATTACACTGCTGGGCAAAATGAGATACAGAAGTTAAGCAGCCCTCAAAGCCAGTGCAGGGTCCTTGCAGTGCTGTTGGAGCTGCCATGAGGCAGCTGCTGACGGCAAGCCCAGTGCTTCAGCCTGGGCCACTTGCCCCACATCGCTGCCCCGCTTGGTGACATGCCAAGTCCCTGACCCCACAGTGGGTTTTGGGAGATAAGCTTTTGCAAATCTGTCTGTGACACCTGGAGGTGTTTCCCCTCTAGGCCTTCACTCCTCCCCACTGCCACAGGTTGTTGTCCAGGAGCAGAGCATACTGTGCCTGCAGCATGCCAGCGAAACCGTGGCGTCCTGACCCCAGCTGCAAAAGAGCTGATGTGTGCCTGAGGGAGTAACATACTTTAACCCATTTTAGCTGCTTGTCAAGCAAACATGAGTCAGATCCCTAACATACCAACAGATATTAAATGGCAGCCAGAGCCTACTAGCAAATGTGACTTCTGCTTCTCATCAGGGTTGAGCCAAGTAGAGTTGAGCAGCTGCCAAAAGTGCAAGTCCCTGCCCTGCCTCTTATACTGGCTCAATTATTCATACAGATTGCAAATATGGGAAAGCTAGACCCCAAGAAAATTGAAATCACTTAGCTTTTGTTGTGGTTCTGATAGTTTTCTGAGCATTCAGTTCCTTGAAGATGTCCAGTGGGAGCACATAGCCAGGAGAAAGGCCATCCTCTCAGTGCAGTCTCATGATGAGTTTTCTCTTGATTACCTAATTCAGCACAAAGAAGAGTTACAAATACAGCTGGCCACACAAACTCCTGCCAACCAAGAAAATTGCAGGTGGGATTAGGGAACACAACCACAGCCTTTGGGGGAAATATCACTACACCAGATCACGAGATATATAGAGATCCCTAAGGTGACCTCAGTCAGTAGCTCAGAAGATGAGGATATCCAGACATCTCCAGAATGGGAGAAAACAACAACAAAAAAAAACATGTTTACTCGTGCTTACACTGGGGAACTATTCTCTACAATACTTCCCTTAGGGACCCAAGGGCAGCCAGTACTGCCAACAGTGCAACACTTCACGTGTCAGTGGCCACTGAAATGGCAGGGGTGAACCAAGGCAAGAAAACACAGGCTGAGCTGCAACTCAAGCTGCTGAATTCAAGGTAGGGCCAGGGGAGCACAAATCCTTGCAGCACACAAGGGCAGTGTGAAATAACTGCAGATCATGTCCACACAATGCCATGACAGCCTTGGTAGAGCAAAACTGCAGTAGATAAAAAGCTAACGAATTTTTCATATTGAAAGTCATAGCAAATTTTAATCTGAATCAACATCTTTAGGTGATAAGGGATGCTATTCAGAGGATCAAAGTCTCTTCATTTCCTCTTTGCAACACTGACAGATTCAGCCGGCACTTTGCAGTCACACAGGTGGCTTGACAATGATGAAGTGTTCATCCCAAGCTGACATAGATATGGAATAAGAAAAATATACTGGCAGTCAATGCACAATCTAGAATTATTTATAATGCAAACCAAGATCCTGTTTTCCTTCTTAATCTATACTAAAACTGTTGCTCAGACTAAGGAAGTCTAGCAACTAATGAATCTAAAACCACAGGGGAGGGAAAAAGACTTTAAACAGAATTTGTATTTTGAAGTCTGAATGATATGGTATCTCTAAAACACAAACAGCTTTTTATGCTTTTTTTATTATTATTTTTAACTCTGCTTTGATTTATGTCCAGGAAAACATATTAGGCCCAAGTTTTGGGCCTGAAGAACTTACAGGAGTCTGAACCAAGAAGCTGGAACACCTCACCAATAGAGGAGCAGTTGAATAGCCCAGACAGGTCTTGACAGCACCAGTCAAAGAGAGGGAGGGGGAGGACATCCTTTATTAGCAACCTTGGACGACGCTTACCTTGCTAGCCATCAGCATTGCACTGACTAAACCACAAATGTGCATTCTCTGCACACCCACACGGGCTCTCAGAACTAACCCATGGCTGGGAGCTGGATTGCCATGAAACACAGGGTGGACAGGCATGGAGTCAGGAGAGAAACCTCTCACCTAAGCTCTGCCGCCCTCCCAGAGACATGGCTCCCTCTCTAACTTAAAGCAGGGTTTAGGTTCTCATATGTTGTCAGAGAAAAGACTTCTGAGGGGCAAGGTAGATAGAGAGCTTCCCCTCAGTCTTGCCTGATTGGGGCACATAGGGCCACAGTGGTGACAGGTACTTCCAGGGAATTTCTTCCTGGGAAGAAGGGAAAAAGTTGTTTTCATGGAGTATATCCCACATCCCAGACTGCTCTTGTCAGTAACTCATTAAATGGTTATAGGGAGTCAGCTAGATTTGGAACCAATTTTTTTAAAGTGCAAGTGTTTTTCTATTACTAAAAGAGAAGAGTTAAATATTTTCAACCACCTGTAATGGTTTGGTAACTCTCCAAGAACTTCCCCCTCATTCCCAGATTGAAAATAAAAAACAGACCCAAAAGAAGATAACTTTGGCTGCAGTAGAATATGTTGAGCACTTATTTTCCTAGCCCCCATTAGCCCCAGTCCAGGAGGGTGTTTTCTGCTCCTCCCCTACATCAGGAGTCAAAAAAGTCTCATGCATAAGAAAAAGAAAGGCATGCTGGGTTCCCCAAAATGCTACTTTCCAAGGAAAAAATACATTGTTTATTGACCTGAAGGCAATATTTTTGTATTAAATTAGAATCCTCTCACTCTTCAGTTTTCTGATATCACACTTCGGTTTCCAGTCTCTGCCTGTACCTTGCACCATTACACCTCTGGTTACCTGTATTAAATCCACTTTTACATGCTAGTAGATCAGGGTGGTTTTCTTTTCTTTAATGATAGCTTGATATACTGCATTGTATGGGGGTAGAACTGGCAAGCCCTGGTGCTTCCAGAGAACACAGAGGTGGAAAGGATTCATCAAGCCCCTGCTTTTGGTCCTTTCTGCTTTGCAGCTAACCATGGCACATGAATACAGACTGGACCCTGGCAACTGTCCTTTCATTATTAACAAATTAACAGCTTTGTAATTCCCTCTTTCCTTTTGTTCTGTGTGCAGACACGCACTTAAGAGCCTGGGGACTTAGACTTTTTCCTCTTGACAAATCCTTCCTCCTGCTCACCCCAGTTTTCAACAGCACAACGGGGGGCCAATCAGCAAATCTTCCCAAGGCCTAGCAAACAAATCTACTTAACTCATTTCCAGTTCAGTCCAGATCTTCATGAGGAAATACAAAACAGCCATGGAAAACATCTTTCTTCCGCAAGACCTCTAGGCCACTATTGTCAAACGAAAATGTGCCCCAAATGTGGGCATTCACAGGCATCTGTGCATGGCCTGGCTGCTGCAAAGGGCATGGCTGCATTCTGGAAAGGTGTCTCTGCCAAGGACAGCCTCGGTTCCCAACCCACCAGAGCTGCAACCCCTTTTCTTGTCACAGAAGCAGCACCAAGTGGCCAATATGAGATCAAGAGGCAGCCACACAGCCACACCATCGCAGGGGTCACTGGCCCGGCTCTTCCTGCTGCATCCCGGCCTGGCGTCGCTTCAGAGGCTTTTGTGCAGAGCAGACAGGGCTGCTGAGGCTCCCCCTGCGCCGCCATCTGAGGGAAGGGATTGTTTGATTTATGAGATGGGAGGAAAAAATAAAGATCCCTCATTGTTTGTCATTTGGGATGAAGAGGAAGAACAGAGTTCTCGTATTTTTGGTAGCTAAAGAGTGTTCGCCGCACATTGCTTTCAAAGGGAGGAAAGGAAGTGCAGAGGCTGGGCGCCCAAAGCGCTGTGCTTCAGGCACAGCCCTCTCCCAGAGCTGGGTCACCCTCAGCCAAGCAGTCCAGCAGAATGTGGCAGCTGGTGCAGGGCATCCACATCCCTTCGTAACTGAGGGCCATCGGGAAAGGCACTGTGGTGGCCGGGGGGGCCCTGCCTCCTCCATCTGTGGATCAGCCCTTCCTTTCTGCGGTGTCTTGTGCAAGTCAATGAGGTGCTTTGTTTGATGGCAAAAGCGAAATGTTTGTCTGACCCAAAACGAACTTCAAGGTTTTAAATTCACCAATAAGCCATGACAAAAAATGGGTTTGTGAGTTAATGTCTCCAATTTATTTTCACATTTATGTGTTAACAGCCAATCAGAAAAATAATCATACACACAATGAAGTTCTGTCTCCCGCTTGTTTTCCTCATGAATGAGATTGCATATTTCTAGTTACTGGTCCTGGGAACTTTTTCAAGATTTTATTTTAAAATTAAATGGAAATGCTTGGAAGAAGAGTTAAGATTATACTAAGTACAGATAAGTTGTACTTAGCAACTCTGTCCCTTTGAGAAGGCTCAATACTTTTTAATTTATTTATTTATCTGCTACATTTAGCTGGACAGACTCCATATTCCATTACAGTACAGAAGTGATATATTTCATCCTCTAATAATACTTCCCAGTTATTTATTCCAATCCAATGTGTTTGTTTAAAGCCAAACATGGAATCATAGAATCATTATTTAGAGCTCATTTCCTCAAGAATCAATGTAATTTCATTCCGAGTTTCCATAAGAGAAAGTACTATTTTAAAATGCAAACTTGTAGATACAATGGAAAATGAATTCCATTCAGATGATGCAATTAACCCCCAGTATAAATAATCTGTGGTGTATATTGTAACATGATAATGTGAAAGTCCAAAAGAACTCATTCCCAGACCACATCAGAAAATCTACTGAGTCAACAACTGCAGCAGACAATAACAGGACTAGTTAAAGGAGCAGGGCATTATAGCAGGTTAGCTCAAACTGTACAACATTTAAAATGTCCCTGACAAGATTTTATACGGCGATTCACACTCAAGCACTACGTGAATTCACTCAGAAAAGATTTGGTAAATAAGATCTGAGTGTGAAGAGACAACTAGGTCAACTTGCTATGTCAAATTATTGCACATGGAAGACTGTTCCTGTCTCTGCTTTGCATTATCACCATCAGTTTTTGAATAATTTAAAAGGAAAATTATTTGCTCAACCTATTTGCTTGAGAATTTGTTTAACTTATTATAAGCAATCACATCTGAAATTCACTTTCTTGACTAAAGATCCTCTACACACACAGGATGTGGCGAAGTAACAGATGTAAAGAGCTGAAATTATTGTGGCAATATACATGTTGTTTCAACTGTTCTCTCTGATAAAAAAAAAACAACATAGTGTTTCAGTAGGATATAAGTGGCTTCACCATATATGTAGGAAGAGTGCAAGAATCATATGGTAATAATTACTAGAAGTGCATAGTTCCCTTTTTCTTGACAAGAGCCACATGGCTTTTTTTTTTAATCTATTGTATCACATATATGATGTAACAATATATCAATGCAAATCAAACAAACGCAAAGCAGCTTTTTGCAGCTGAGGCTCCAGACACACTGAAGTCAGGCAGCTCCGTCTTCGGGGCCCTATTCCCAGCTCAACCCTCAACACTCACATTTTCTCTTTCTAGCTGTGATGTTAAAAATGTGTGGTTTAAATCACTAGTGAAAGTAGAGAAACCACCATGACATTTATCACAAATTCCAACACAACAGCAAAACCGAACATAGAATAAATTATCTCCCTGCAAAAGCCTCCCAGTGTGATCACCTCGGGAAGGAGTTACTCATTGGTCCTTACCAAATACAGGGGCTCCCCTCTTCCAATGCAACACCTTCACAATGCAGCTTGATTTAAT